ATGTAATTATGTAAGAATGTTAACACTGTTATATTTTTTTAGTATATTACTTGTGTGGTGTAGAAGAGAATTATTTATGTAGAGATACTGCTTGCAAACCAATGATGTAAGATGATGTCATGGGGTAGGACTGGATAAGTCTGACTTCTTCCTTCTCCATTCAAGCATGTACTAGGTATAAGCAAATTGATATTGGATTAGCATTTGTTGGATATGTGTAAAATTATGTGTGTTGACATATCAACTGTCTTTACATGCTTGAAAGAATAAATAAATCAAATCAAATCAAAGACCTGTATAGGGTTTTGTTGTGCAGGGTATACAAGCTGCGGTCCAAAAATAAATAAGAAAACTGTATTGGGTGAGCGAGACAGTGCCTGTGTGTGAAATAGATGAATGAGAAAGAGGGTGAGGGGGGGAAAAAGAGAAACTGAGCAAGAGTGAGAGACAAAGAAAAAGAGGCATGAGAAAGAGAGTTGTGGCCTATATCTGCTGCATAATGGTGCTAAAAAAGGCTTCATGCTGACAAACACCATCTGACAGAAGGCTTTATTCAGTCCCCTCAGTTACACATCGTTACAGTATGGATACAGGCAAGAGAGAAAAAGTGAAGGCAGCAAAGACAACAAACAATGAAAAATACAGTACTGCCACACCAGAATCCCTACACTGCATAACAGTCTGGGTATCCAGAATTTCATATCCATCCACATGCTTCAAAATTTTATCAAATAAAACTGACTACGAACATATTTTGCACTATTACAGAACAAACACGTACAAATGCAAAACCTGATGATTTGCTGCATCGTAAACATGGAACAGCGTTGCATCCTAGGAAACAGAATGCCTCTAAGCCCTACAGCCAATCAGGTTAAGTGAACCATCTGGCTTGGGGTAAAGCACTGTGGGAAGTATGTCAAATTCCCTTCCTCTCCCTAAACTGGGAGATAGTGACACAGTCCGTTACATCACACTGTAGTGACAGTCAGGCTGAGATTTCCTCAGTTACTTCTTAAACCACAACTACATGAAAAGCCGGAGTTAACCCCTATTATGGCAAGTCATGTGCTTACCAGATTAACCAGTCATATAAAATATGTAGTGTTACATAAAAGGTGACAACACATTGTTGCCTGTTATCAGAGGAATGCATTCACTTAAATTGGGAGTAATCGGTGCAACAATGAATCTGCCCTCAGCCTGCATTAAAACAAGTTTTGTTACTCCACGGTCTGACATAATTATCTACTGAACTAGTAAGGATCAACTAGTAAGTCAGGCAACTGAACTAGGAGCAGCATACTCAACTAGCATCCTGCAGGTACAACAGCTGTAAGTAATTCAAGAAATAGCCCTGTTGGGCGCCTCTCTCTCACATAGCAAGAAGTCCACCTGATCACAGAGCTCTAGAGAAAGTTCTTAGAAATGCATTTGAAAATCACTCCCCCACTAAAAGGCAGATGAAACGGAGGCCTGGTTCTACATGGTTCACCCTGAGTCCACTCCAAAACAAGTACGTGATTTGTGCTGCTGATTCAATAGCCACCCCTACTTCAGATTATCAACCAGAACTATCTACTTTGAACTATTTATAGAAACCAGCACAAACATATCCTCTGTCTTTTCTCATGACAAAGTTAGCATGGCTCTGTTCCCAAAAGTCTGTCTGACTCTCTGGTCCTTTTTTCAACAGGATTCAAGATCTAGCCATCTTGTCCCATTTGACCAAGCCCAGCATCTTGTTATTGCCTAATGAGCTCAGAAAGACCAAGCTACACACTAGATATCTTTTGCCATCTATGCGTTTGTCAGCTACAAGAAGCTATACAACCTCTAAACCTGTCAGTGGGAGCTTCCCACTGACAGGAGGACAAAAAAGCATGACAGACATTAAAATGAATTGAAATAATAGCATATACTGAGTGCAAAGTATATGCAGATAATAGCTATAAAATAATACATTCAATATGCATTATAAAATATAGATCCTATGTCAAGCACAGATGATTAGGCTGTTTACATAAATAATGGCAGCCACAGTAAAACTTGTGTTAAATATTGAACACATCTAGATCTGCAAGATTCTAGTATACTTTCAAACCAGTCCTCTATCATGGTAAGGCATTATTGAAACTCTGTGATGGCTCCGGAGGGTGTGTGATGGTTTATGCATACTGTGTCCTAATCTATTGGTTTATGCATTAATGGTGCAAGTTTACTCAGCTGGGAACATGATGTACGAGACTGGAGTGGTAGGAGTATGGATGTATGACCGGAGCAAGTGCGATAGCTGCGACCCATCACCAGATTTACAGTCAGATGTGTGCGTATGTGTAATCTGCTTACCTGCCGTTGCTGATCTGCCGAGGTGAGTGACGGAGATGGTCCGAAGGTTCAGGCCTGTCAGGTGAACGTGATCGACTACCTCGCCCTTGGGATCGATTTGAATGGTCTGATGTAAGTGAATGTATTTCTGAAATGTCTGTGAAATTGTAAATAAATGTCTGTGTATTAGCATGGGAGTAATGACATAAATCAAGATATTTTTTAATTAAAAAAAATAATTCAGCTGTTATTTAAATGTTCCCTTCTTACTGCTTAAGAAAATATAGATTTGTCATAGCTTGAGCTATCAAATGCTAGCCACACCCAGAAAGGCAATGCAACTTATCTGTTGTCTCACCATCTCTATCTGAGTTATTAGCTGATGGGATGCTGTCATCGAGGTCAGGAACATTGAGCAACGTGGCTCGCTCATCTCTCTGCACCACCATCTTCAACTTGCCCTTTGACCTCTCAATCAGCTTCTTGGCATCTACCAGTGATAGGTTCTCTGTAACTGTGCCATTGATCTGCCAGAGGAAGGGAAGTGGATTAGCACTAGGACTGAACAGACAAATCACAATAATCTCAAGCACAATATTTCTGTAGAGCCCATGATGTGCTTTGGAAAGCTATGGAATCATCACAATGCAAAGAGGAACTGGGAACATCCTAGTTCTCCCTCACATTAACAATAATGATGCCAGTAGTAAGGAGAAGAAGAGGAGGCTATAACCAAGTTTAAAAATATGTAATATAATTAGGATCGGACTGCTTTTAGTGTTTCCAGAGACACACGAGTGTTTTGAAACATACACCCTCTACATGGAAAATCTTTATACTTGTTACTGAAGTTCTCTCTCTCTCAGATAGATAGATAGATAGATAGATAGATAGATAGATATAGTTCTATTGGTTTTGGTCTTTCAGTCAAATTTCAACTAGATATTTTCTCTTCCACTCTTCAGAACAATAAGATTTTAAATGCATCCTCTTTAAAATTCAAAGCGACAATGGAATGTGTGGTATCCCTGCTGGTGAACTGTGACCTCACTTTAGCTCTCTTAGCCACTTTCAGCAGCTCACAGATGACCTTTACTGCGTGTTGTCCATCTTAAACGCGCCTGTCTTACCCACATGCCCACTTGTTGCAAACACTCTTTTCTCTTACCTTAAGCACAACATCTCCCTCCTGGATGTTTCCATCCCTGGCAGCAAGGCTCTCAGGAGAGATGTCCTTCACAAAGATGTGGCTGGCCAGTCGCAATCCATATTCTGCTTTCAGAGGTGATAAGCATAACAAAGTTATATTAACAGTGCACATCGATTTAACCATCTCTTGGTTCTCCAGGTGATCCTTGAATTCTGACTGTACTGATGGGTCTTTACTGTTAATTACTAGTGAAGTTGAGAAAATCCACAAAGCTTGTTTTGTTTTCTGTATATTGGATGCATCGACAATATACATTAGTCAACTTTTCATATGCTTGGACATTGTGTTGCCCACCTTCATTTTTGCGGGACTTGACAAGGGTGACCTTGGCGGGCCTGGGTGGAGCAGATGAGGTCTGTGATCGGCGATCAGAGCGTGGTGAGGTGCTCCTCTCCCGGGAGGCACTGTGCTCCTGCCTGCCGCTACGCTCACGATCAGGACGCCTGCCGGTGCCCGCACCTCCGCTTGCCCCTCCATATGCACTCTGGCCGCCACGACCATTGCGGTGCTCATAGCCATCATCCTCATCAGTGTCCCCTTCCTCATGCTCTGACATCGTTTCCCTATCCCCTGCCCGTGAAAGAGGGACCTGCACTTTCCTTTTCCTACGTATAGTCTTGGAAGAAAGAAAGGTTTTTATGTTAAAGTGGACAAACATTATTTTCTAACTAACATCTGTTAATGCATGCTTTGTAACATCAGAGGTCAACCTTCAACCCTAATTCAGGGCAACGCATTATGTTGAACTTACTATCTTTGCATTTTTGCCACTCTTGCGAAGTTGCTGCACAGCGTAGGCATGTTCTACATTGTCCATAGAGACAGCATTGACCATAACCACTCGATCATTTTCTCTGGGGGGGGAAAAAGATGCCTAGACAGTTATAATAGTTGTACTATTTGAATCTACATAATGCTCAACAGTTGTCACCTATACAGGATAAAACAGGAAACTTTATTTCAACTGATTGAATTCACAATAACTGTTCCTACATATTTTTGTACTGAACATGAACAAACAGCTCAACACTGCTGTCATATGAAAATAATGGCACTGTAGTCGAGCACTTACTGTAGCAGCCCCTCTGCAGGACCTCCTTTCAACACATCGGAAATGACAATGGATGTCTCTCCACTCTGGAAATGAGGGTTGTCTCGCCCACCTGAGATGGCAATGCCAAACCCAAATCCTGCAGCCTATACAGGTAGAAATACACACAGGACTGACTGATGTGGCAGATACATTAAAGGTGCATTTGGGTTTACTACAAAGAAAAGATTAATAAGCTCTCTGCAGGGTAATTCTCATTACTTACACTATGTAAACAACAGAATGTGCAGTGAAGAGGGCTCTAAAAGATTGGGACATTTAGTGTAGACAACAACAACGTTATTTTCCAAGAGGTTTCCATGGATGTTTTGAGGACTGCTGTGTTTTTGCCAACGCAAAAGCCAGCACCAAGGGAGCATGCCATGTGATGTAAATGGCTAATCTTACAATCACAACAACACAGGAGAGCTGCGAGGCTGAGACACGCAGGCCACACAGTGTTGCCCCTTCAACCTCAATAAACCGCTACTAATTAGATTACAGCAAGCCAGTCTAGACAGGTGCTCTACATAATCCCACAGCACAACAGCATCAATTAACTAGTTGACTGTCTCAAAGCAATGTGCATTCAGACATTCAACATATAATAAAACAATGAGTATATTAATTTATCGACTACCACTAGTGGAATGTGACTTTGAATAGCTTGACAGTTAACCTGATGACGCTGATTATGCCACAATGGATGTTCAGTGATGCTAACCTTACAATAGCTTTTGAGGAATCATAATGTGGCTAAAGCACATTGTATATTATACTCTCCTCTCCCTTCTTTCCTGGAGTTGTGTCAAGGAGAAGAGTCTGAAGCCAACAAGAAGGAAATTAGATGAAGTAGTAAGGAAGTGGATGTTGATTTCTATCTTCCTTAGCCTTGTTTCCTGCCATCTGGGTTCCCTGACTATTGTTCCATTACTGCACATCCTGCTGCTACAGCTGGCCCTTGCAGTAAAGAGTGAGAAGAGAGATGGAAGGGCAGATGACAGAGAAGAACAGGGAGGAAACAGTAAATAAAAAAACACACACACACACACACACACACACACACACACACACACACACACACACACAAGACATGCTACGGGATTAGGATGCCAGAGACATGCAGAGAGAATAGAAGACAAAAGAGAAGAGGCCTAAGTGAATCGAAGAGATGCAAACTCTTACCCTGTGAAGGGTCACTGTGTGCTGTTCCCATATGACCGTTTCCTCCATTGCTGCACTCTGCAAGACAGGACACAAGACGGATAAATCATTATTGTGAGGCCAACTTATTAGGTAGATGTGTACATTCAAATGCAATCATTTAGTCCTGCAACAATTTCCATCTTAATAAAGTGGTTTTGGTAGACACTGGATCAGAACGGTTTTAAGTCAGCTCAGTGGTAATTTCTGAGGCTGTAGTTAGTTAGCAGTATTGTGGAACTACGTTTTATTTAAAGGTCGAATGTTTCGAACCTTTTACATACTTTAAGGTATGGATACTAGAGATGCTTGCCAGCGCAACGCCTCTCTGAAAATGTAAGGGCACAACAGAAAACATCACGTTGCTTTACATGACATAACACTATGCAAGAAGACATTTCACAGTTACCCTGTTACCCCACAGCAGAAGTGCTGGATAGTAACGACCATGGTTACAGCAGAGAAAAGTGGACGAGCAAAGTCAGCCAAAGTTTGGGAGCACTTTATTTTACACTCAGAAAGAAGACTGTCTGTTACCAAACATGCAAACGTATTAGTCGTGGCAGAGGAGCATGACGCTAATGTGATGGCACCTAAAGAAAAAACATGTTGGAGTTGATGTTGCAGAAGAAGGGAAACCTGGAGTTAAGCGAGTTATTATTTTTAGTAAATCTAAGAAATGATGAAATGAAAATTAGGATTTAAGTAACATGGTTAAATTGTTATTATATTATGATGCCAATTATTTATTTAGGAACATAACAGTGGGTTTTGTATGCTGTTAAGTGCAGGAACATTGATGACACATATGCAAATTAATGGGTAAATGTGTTGAGGCATTTACTTTTAACCGTCAGCAGCAGTAGTCATGTTTGTACTGGCTCTATACATTAGCATGGTATGTTTTATGAAATAGAAATTACTTTAATTTGTAAATATTTGTGTATTTTGTTAACACTGTAAAGACCTATTGTACATTTGATTGTTGCTCTATTCTTGAACAAATAGTTTTGTTTAATAATGCAATGCACAGAAAAAGCATTGTTTAAATGAATGAATTTGTTTTTATAATGTGAAAAACAGATTTCTGCATGTTTTTATAAATCTGATTATTTCTATGATTAATTGATTAATCAACAATAATCATTAGTTGCAGCCCTACTTTATATTATGTATGTACTGAGGAAGCGGATACTGACAAACTGACTCATGAAAGCCTGCAATCAAAACATTCCTTTATACAAGAATGCTTGTTTAAATTCCACATGTACACCTAGTGTTTCCATATCCGCTTGCATTTCAGTAGACAGAGTTACCCTTTGGCGACTAGCAAGGCAGGCTCATTTGCTTATTTGCACAACTAAGTCCTGCTGTCACACAGGCCAACGGAGGAGAAAAAAAAAAAAAGATTGTGAATGGAAGCAACATGAGTAAACAGCCAGCAGGTTCTGACTGTCACCAAAGATTGAGTAAACATTCCTATAATATTTCAGGTTGAGTCATTTGAAGAAGGTATTTAGTCGCTCCTCTGATCAACCCCACTGGATTCAACTGATACCAGGCAGCCATCTTTTGCTATCACTCTTTTCTAATTCAGTTACATAAGACAGTTTCTCTGCATGGCTCAGGAGCTTTCTTTTTAAACCATTATTAGGTCAAACACGCACTCCTAATTTTGTGTCACAGACCACTGTTTTGTTTTTTTATCCCCGAGCACTCTGTCCCCAGCTTTAAATTTCAGTTTTACTCTACTTCACTCCAGCTGATGAAACATCACTGCTGTCCTGTCTGTCTGCCTGCAGGGAGGGATGGTACAGCTGTCTGGGGTGTGCCGCATGCTGTCTAACGTGGCAGGAGAAGAAGACATAAACACTACCACATGTGGCAGGGTGCTTATTTACTACACCTTCTATAAACAACCTTTTAAAATAACACACCATGTCACCTGTCCACCCTATCATTAGAATAATCTCACTCCCTAACCCATTAATTATCAGATAATCCTGAGCAGTCTCACCCATCATCTTTGACATCATCACTGTCATTAACTGCCATCACCTTCCCTTAAAATACAGTTTCCAGGGGTCTGGCAGTCTGGAGTTGCTAACTAGACCACAATCAGCTGATAAATCACTTCTGGAACAAGTTTCCAGCTCTTTTTATGTAGTCACTGTAGTGCTCTATAGCCTAGCAGTTAACGTGATGATAATAGTGACCATGACGGTTTTATTTGAAGCATAAGCCGATGAACTGCATGCATGCTTTGTCGTTTGTGTACATGATTTATTTGTAGCCCATTTTTCCACTGAAGAATTTTTGCTTTTTGGTGTCTGTTGGACTTCATGCACAGTTCCGCTCTCCCACCCACCTGGCTAGCACCAGCTCACTTTTGGGCTTCACTAGATGTGACCGACGCATATGCACAACTTCAGTGTTTGATCTGTTCCATCCACACCGACTCTGACCGCTGTGCAGCGTCTCTCATCCGAACACGCTGTCTGTCAGCAGGAGGGCAGCACAGTGTTTATATGTTTTGATTTATTTATTTTATTAATTTGGATGTCTCGGATGGGGGAGTAAAACCAAAAAGCTCAGTGACGCCAAGAGCCTGATGCATCAGAAGAGATTCAAGTAAAAAGTTTCCAACACATTAACAGGCTAACTGGTGACCTACCTGATTTAAGCAGCTGTCTGTGGCGATTACACTCCAAATGCACCAAAGGGAAAAAACTCGAAACATAAAAAAACGAGGTCCAAGTAAGAGGTGTGTATCTCAGAGTCAGTGGGGATCGACACATATGAAAGATTGGAAATCTATTCCACGTTGAGATGGACGAGTGACAGACCTGCAGATAAACGTTGCAATGACAGTAACGTGGAGATTATTATGTCCGTTCACCATTTTTACAGTGAGAACATAATTTGTGCATTATCTGTATTTTGCAGTCACATGCAGTGCAACCTTTGAAAAAAGTCTGTTGCACCTTAAATAAATTTGGTCACAAAATGCAAGTGATCACTCGCAGTGTGGAGCCCTGCTGTACAAAAAACACTTCACCCTTTGGCCCCAATTTCCATGGCAGCTCTGTGTGGATGTTATTTATGTCCATAATTGACACAGAGGGGTCCCACCTCTCTATCCCTCCTCCACTGTCTGTCCCTACAACTCCCACAGTAAAACACTATTGTGTGAAAGGACCTGACCCATTTAACCACAGCTCCCCCCAACATTCCTAAACACATCCACTCCTAAAGTGTTTTGTGATATACTCATCCATCCATTCATCCATCCAACAGTCCAGGCACACAGTTAGGGGCTACGCCACGAGAAACAGCAGTGTGCTGGGGTCATGTGACCAGGCAGTCAGACAGGCAGGTGGCCCTGTCCTTGAATTGTGGGTGGCACTGATAGGCAGGGAAAGGGAGAAGGAGGGGGGAGCAAGGCTTTAGACTGCCTGTGCTACTTATATATGGTACCAAATGACAACATTAAAAGGACCCACTCCTTTTTCTATTTTCTGTAAGTCATAAGGGTGTAGACATGCTTGCACTGTAAGAGGTCAAGTACGAGTCATAAGAGAGACGGGAACTTCACGAGTCATAACCTGGAGCTTCGTGTACGTGTAATCAGGAGGTACTTGAAGGGTTGATGTGGTCAGTTGCACTTTGCATTGCAACTGCATTTTTACCTGGGTTGATCACTGCTTACACGAGGGTGGAGCTGGGGTCAACACACAGACACACAGCTGAGCATATGACAGTGAGTCAACACCCACGATGCTCATTAATCATACATGCAACAAAATCTTCCAGTAAAGGAGACTGTATGGGCGGGTTAGCAATCAGCTGCTGAACAAGCAAAACACAAATTTGCAGAAATGTGACATCTTTGCTGTTTTGAAGTTCCTGTTTTACCTCCAAACCAGTATGCTTGTTATGCTAATACTTGATACGTGATGATGCTGACATAAAACCACCCCCTCACAAAAAAGAAGAGCCTCTCAAAGAAATAATGCAGTGCAGTGAGGTTTATGACAGACAGAGCTCTGGTAAACTGGGGGACAGCCAAGATGGTTAAGGAGAGACAACTTGTCTGTCTTGTAGGCTGCTTAGGATATTTACTCTACTGAAACTATAGCTCTGTCCCTCAGATGAGATTAGTATGATAATTATTCATTGAAATGTTAACTGATGATTAGCAGCTGGCTGATTGAAAGTGAGATATAAGGAGGGTAGAACAAGGACAGCAATAGAGTGCAAGTCTGAGAAGGGCATTTGATAGCACATACTAGCAAATACTAAAGTTTATTAAGAGACATGCACTCAGCCACTTTATTAGACACACCTGTACAATTGTATGCACTTCAGTGCAACACTTCTGCCTTAACATCTGTGTTTATGAAGCTCAAAATGTTTCCATTTTGGTGAAATTGTCATAAAAGTATGAAGTCATTTATATGTTTAATGAGGTCAGAGTTAAAGGTGGACTACATTATATTCAGGTGTTCCTAATATTCTGACCCTCTCATGTATGTAAGCTGAAGAGAACAAAAATATAGACGCATCTAAATATAATGTAATCCAGTACAACACCACCTTTAACTATGACCTCAATAATAAACATATAATAGCATTTATATAGTTATGGTAATTTCACCAAAAACAAACATTTTGAGCTTCATAAACACAGATGTTAAGGCAGAAGTGTTGCATTGAAGTGCATACAGATGTACAGGTGTGAATATTAAAGTGGCCGGTGAGTGTATGTGATGCAAATGAGGGAGCCTAAAGTGGTCTCATCAGTCACAAAATAAACATCCACAGGGAGGAACTTTGTGTGGAAAAGATTTTGGCAGTTGCAGCTCTGTGTCAAAAAAGAAATGTATTTCATATATAACAGGAGCATTTCAGATCATACAAAAGCAAATATCACCGGGGCAAAACAAACACAAACCTAGTGCGTCTCATTTTCTGGAAAAAAAAACAATAAAAATATTGATTGATACAAATGATGGGGTTTATCTCTGAACTCATAGAGT